AAGCTATTTACCATACTCAATTTTGACATGAATTGCTAAAAATTTTTAAGACTCAACAGACACAAACAGTGGAACTCAGTGAACCTTTAAAAGTGCATTATCTAATATAGTTCAGAATCCTACCAGACAAAATCATATTGGATAAAATCCTACCATCCTATTTTCCTATAAAGGAAAAAATATATACATTTTAACATTTATCTAGATACAGAAATATTTCCAGCATTGCATGAGTATATGCATAGTCTATAATGCATTTGTTCCACTATGATATTTACAATAAAATAAATTAAATCATTCAAAGAAAAGGCTTTATACATTTACATTGCATTGTAGTTCTGTGGCAATAAAATGTAAATTTTTCCCAATTTTTTCAAGTGCAAAAATAGCAGAAGGAAATCATTTTAAGATTTAGTATAATATGCAAAGATTTTGAGTGTAAGGGATAAAAACAAACCATTGTGTAAATAAATATGAAACCAATTAGTTTTATTTTTCTATAGTATATATTCAAAACGTCTTCATCTTCATACAGCTGAAATGTGCTGCTTCTCATTACATATAATCATTTCACAGTAATGTTCACGAGTATAAGACATTGCCACAGTACTCTACCAATTAGTAAATTGCATAATGTTGGCTCTGCATTGATTGCATGGCAGAATTGGTGTCATGTTTCTGAAGATCACATTTTTAATTTGCATTCTGTTCTAATGTTTGAAAAATTTATATATTGCCACAGAATTTCCATGCAATATAAGTAAACATGTCCCTTTTTTAGACAAATTATTTTATTGTAAACATCACAGTGGAACTATGCATATACTTGTTCAATGCTAGAAAGATCACTTTTGTGTCAGGATAAATGTTAAAGTGAACACCCTGTATATTTTTCCTTTGGTAGAAAATTAGGTCATCACAGACAGGATGGTAGGGATCCTGTCTGTGATGACCCCTCTAATAGTAAATATTCAGTGGTGAATTTAGAAATATGGCACTTCTAGGCCCACAATATGTAGGCATCTACCCAAACTAACCCCAAATGATTCTTGCCACTTTTGAAGGCAAAATATGTTCATATATTATTAATACTACTAAACTGATATGTCATATTTTGTTTCTACCTACCTAAGCTTTTAATTTGCACTAATTCCTTTATGAATTGTTTTTAAAATTAAATTATCTTTTCATTATTTTATTGTTATTGGGCTGCAATTTTCAAAAGTTGTAGACCTATAAATTCCCACTGGCATCTATTGTCTGCCTGTCCTTCTTTAATCTTGAGCAGTGTTAGATAGCTGAAAGTCAAGACAAGATATGGAATGCTTAGGTAGAGAAGGCCTCAATTAACTATATACAAACAACTTCTTTTGGCCAGAAGTTATGTTATTTCAATTAAAAAATTTTCTCTTGAATGGAGTTAGATAGATGACTGGCATGACTTCATTGTTAACAGGAAAAGTATGATGTACAGGGGCAAGACTTAACTGCACTGTTGTGAAAAATTGCAGCCTGGCATTGGGCAATGCCACAATAAATAATTGCTCATTATTATTATTATTATTTTGAATTTTTACATTCCTAAACTTTTGCACCCCTAGGCACAGGAAATTCACCACTAATTTCTGGTTAATAGGAACACATTGTAAAATAAACACTTGAGTCCAAAGTTTCTGAAAAAAAAGCTTTAATGAGGTAATATAAACAAATCATAAAAATTGTTGAAGCAAACATTTTCAATTGATTAGTCAAACTTCTCCAGGCAATGGAACATATTTTAAATAAATAAGATTTTACCAGAAAAACATTTTGGTGAAAATCATACAAAAAAAATTTATTTTCAATAAAATTAAGAAAATTTTATGTGGATGGGGAGAGAAAATGTCACTTAGTTTGCTGATATTGATTATTACAAGACTGTTGTAAAATAATTTTATGTGATTCTCTAATAAAAATTAGTCCTTTTTCTGATATGAAGCAATGAGTTGTATATGATCACAGTCTGGGAAATAGCCTTCAATACTATAGCTTTGCAAATTCCATTTTAATCCTGTTTGATATATTGCCTTTTGTTTATCTAAGTCTTTCCTACAATGTGTGAGTTGTAGCACCAGTGTTAAAAGGTAGTATTTGGATCAGATCTTAAAAAAGATTTTATGTACCCTGAGCTTTTGTAGGGATGCTAATTATGGCAACTAAAACAAAAATAAGCCATTAGGATTCACATGAATTTCAGTCTGTTTTCTGAAGAGTTTGAAACTCAATCTTTGACAAAATCACAAAGACAAGGAAGAAAATGATTATCTACATGTAATCCACAAAAACTAAGTGATTCCCTGCTTACTGAAAAATCTATTTGATAATCATCATTTTGTCACATTTGAGGTTTGAAGTTACACTGAGACTTCAGGTCATGACCAAGAGGTAATAGTCAAGGTAAACTGATTTCCAAGTAAAATTATCAAATTCAAATAATGGCATCTGGCCCAGTAAAGAAGTTTAATTTGGGTGAAATGACACAAATTTATAAATTAATCCCCTTTCATCAGATTTTAAGAATTGGGTTGGTCAACAATTCTAAATTCCAATCCCTCCAATTGCTTCTTGGATTCCTCCAGTTTTTTTCTTTTGGTCTTTGAAAGCAAGGTTTGAAAAATAAAATCCAAGATTAAACATTGTGTAAAGCAAAACAGAAGCTGTCGATAGAAATTACACAACCTCTGCAAGTCATATTCCAGAAATAAAAATACAAGCACAGTAGCGTTCGAATGCTGGATATAAACTGTGTGGCATTAGATGGCCAGTGAGATACTGAACTTATTTAGTTTGTTGAAACATGATCTAATCCAACAGTGAGTAGGTTGCTTATATTTATTCCTAATATCCCAGATAACATGTCGAAACATGCTCAACCACACCAGTAATATTACTCACTATCAACTTTTAACCTGTTTCTATACGATCATTCGACCTTCCTCCTAAAGCTAAAGCTACTTAACCCACCTCCCCCTACCACTACTCTTCAACCATTAATTTAACATTTTTTATTTATTTATTGCCAAGTCCAGATATAATTGATAGAATTAATGTGAAAAGTCTTCGTTTTAATGCCATTTTTTAAATAAAAAAATTTTAAGTTAACTAGGAATTTTACGCTAAATACAAACAAAAACTTGAGTGTAACAAAAAAATTGACGAGATGGAATGTGTTTGGTATTTTTTTCGTTTTTACCAAGTTGAAATCTATAAGAAAATGAATAAAAATCCTACGCAGTATTTTACTTGCAGGCCTGTGTTATTTGTGTGTAACAGAATTTGTGTAATAAAACCAAGTATATTGTGGAAAAGTAATTCTTAAGAACAGACTTAGAAAGTGTCAATTGCTTTACAAAAGAATTTTTCGGATCCTGATAAATAGTACTATTATGAATTTCTCAAATAAAAGCATCAAAATTATTCGAAGTACTTGATGATGATAAATTTTTATATCACATAAATAGACTTAAGGGGTTTCGAGTACTGCTTTTTTGTTCAATATGTTGCACGAAGCCAAAAAGAATTGAGAGTCATTGTGCTTTTCTGTAACTTGCGTTTAATTAAGAAAAAAGTTAAGCAAATGCTTTTCAATTTACACAAAACATCGAATTTTGAAAATAATTTAATGTTCCTATTAAAATAAATGGACTAAATATAAATCATATCAAATTCTGTTTATGATAATTTTCTGCATTATCCGGTGATAATTTATTTCGTTTAGTAATCTTCCAGTCGTACTTGAAATTCAAGCGATAAAACAAATCTCTGAATTTGCTGCGGAGATATTCGTAATCGGGAGCTTCTTCGAATTTTAGACTTCTGCAATGGCGCAGATAATTGGCAAATTCATCGGGAAATCCGCTGCATAATGTTTCGATAGAAGTAGATGCTTTATTTTCGGGGATTCTTTCGTGTTTTTGTTTTCTGGTTGCAGCAACCAATCCCTCCCAAGGAAGAAATCCTCGAAGAAAATACATTAAGACATTGCCTAAAGATTCTATATCATCGCGTCGACTTTGTTCAATTCCTAAATGAACGTTGAGGCTGGCATAACGAGCTGTTCCTGTTAACATTTTACCATCCTTATACTCGACATGCTTATCGTTGACTCTATACAGTTTAGATAATCCAAAATCTACGATAAATACACTATTACAGAATCGAGTTAAACCCACGAGAATATTCTCGGGTTTGATGTCTCTGTGGATAATATTCTTCGAGTGGATGTAGACGGGAAATCAATTCATCGATCAACAACAGCACAGTTTTCATACTAAATCTTCTATTGCAATAGTTAAATAGGTCTTCGAGACTCGAGTAATTCCATGACCAGAGCATTATAATGTTTATATTTTCCAAAATACATAATTTTCGGGATGCCGCATCCTCCTTGAAAGATGATATAAACTTTATACTCGATCAAATGTTGCGAATGTTTGAGAGTAAAAACTCTAACTGCACCTTTCTCTTTATTTTCAGTGTTTAATCCGAGATATACATCTCTGGAAGAGCCACTGCCTATTTTATTCATTGTACGATACCTTATATTAATAACTTCGGATGACGATATCGATTCCATTATGCTCTTGTATGAAACCATTTGTAAAACTTGAAATTTTGAAGCTATTATTTTCGAAAGAATATAGTAATTGTTTTTCGATTATTGTTGGTAAAATAACAATGGAATCTACGAGGAAAATCAAAATTGAAATTTAATTTTTAAGATTATTAAACTTTTTTTGCCCCGTGGGCATTAAGAGGCCTTTTTCAAGTCCATCGTGGATTCGCCTGGACCCACAACGGGCGACCGGATGGCAAGAGACGAGTTTGAAATATTCGGGATAGACCACCACCGAATAATTCCTGGTATTTCAATCGTCCGGATTCGAACACCACTTCCCCAGATGGATCTTACATTTAATCATAATTTATAAGGCCATCTGGTAAAATGCCAGTCTTAGATGTGAATGTCAGTCTCGAACCCGATCCGATTTTCTCGTGTATTGTGTATGATGCGAGGAGTTTTACTCCTCTCCGATTCTGTTATAGATCTGGTTCGCCCGTAATAGATGTAATTGTTGCCGACTCCTCGTTCAAGGCACTTTCGGATAATTTATGCAATCAAACTTTAAACCACAGGAGAGATTTTATATAAAACTAAGAAAATACTACGTATTTAATATTATGTTCAGTTTGTATTTTTAATAATTTTCTTACTTTATTTTTTTAAAATATTTTTTTATTTTATTATAAATAAATTTTAATTATAGTAATTTGTTGCTAATAAAAATATTATTTATTTCGTAAAATAAATCCGAGAAACAAATATAACTCACTAGAGGGCGAACAGACTCTATATATTAGCGGAGTGTCTTTCTTCCGTTTTATTTTACGCTGATCGTGAGGTATGTGTGGTGAGTAAATGCCGTTTCGAAATTTTTGATATTTCATTTTACTTAAAATAGGGTTCAAATCTATTTCTGCTTTTTACGGAAGGTTAACTTTTATGTGAATTAAGTTTCTAAAAGTTCGATTACGTCGGGATGTATTTGGATTGAGATTTGCCACGTGCTCGCTTCGTTTCTTTTCAGATAACCGACGTAGTCGAATGATCTTGTAACTTAAAAAATATTTTCTAAAATTGAAATTTTGTGAAAAGTCATTCAAGTAAATGGGACTGATGTTTTAAAATGATGGGAAATAAGAATTAATTTAAGACCTTTACCCCCCTCTTCCGTATCGTAATGATGACTCTTTCCGTGTTTCAACTGAATTTTTTTAGATGAAACTTTCTTTACTGAATCTTAAATTTCTTAATTCACTATTGATGACAAAATCGACAATTAGTAAAGAGGTTTTTTTTTTTTGTAAATTTCAGGTTACGTTTAAGGAAGATGATGCTTTAAAAGGTTAGTACAGTATGCCTAATAATTGTCTTTTAAACGAGAAATGATGAATTGTCATTGGTCCGTGTTTCTGAATAAATGTGACGATAAACAATGACGTAAATCTGATTAGAATGAAACAAATTCTACTTTAATAATGAATCCATCTGCGATATTTATTTATTTTTTTCTTCCTTTCAGGACTTCATCCGATATCCTTATCCTGAGTAGTGGTAAGAATGGGTATTAATCATTCGCATCTGTGAATTGGTTATGGAGATACTTGAGTCTTGTTTATCGCGATCCTATCTTAGCTGTTTTAAGAGACTAAGCTAGGGTCGTTGGTGCAGTAGTTTTATAAGAATGTGTGTAAATGGTTTCGTTTAAACAAAATAAAGGCATATTTTATATTGGTTGTTATGAATATATATTATTGTACAAAATTCACCATACATGATTTCAATAACTTACTAGATGAAAATGATTTACAAATTCGCCATTATAAAATTTTTGTAATTAATTAATTCGTTCAAACGCTGATTTGTATTTTAATATAGAAAATGATTTGTTTGACTATATAGGTTAGGGTCGCCGGGAAAATTAATTCTAGAGCGTAATTATTAGTAACTGGCAGCTCGGTGTGGCATTGCTTTGTAGAAAATAAGGCAAAACGTTACAAATTTGGCTATTAGCTTACCGTTATGTTCAAGATGTGTCGAGATCAAATCGGAGGGGGAGAAGTGTTGTGTCCAAATTTTATGGAAGTTATTTTCGTCGGAGTGCCGATGGACAAAGGGGTAGTATTTTCCGTCCTCTGAATCGGTTAAGTTCATCTGAAAAATTTTGCTATATTAAGAATTCCTCTACTAAAATACATAAAGCAGCAAGTTGCTCAACTTCCCCCACCCCTCGGAAACGTTTAATATAAAGTGCTATAAACACATCATAGGACGTAACCGATCGTGTCCCGTTCGATTCGTCATTCCTTAAATTTTTAAGCAATTGAATAATAGTCCTTTGATTTAAATTATTAAAAATTGTGGGGATGCGCACAAACCGTGTCACATGACCAGGCCTTTCCGTGCAACGTATTTGGTGGAATCGTTTTTGCACTAAACTGCGTGCATCACGTGCTTACCTCTTTTGTCACTTCGAATAGTCCGCGGATCACAGTTTGACCAACTTTGTTTAGTTACGCTTCCGTAACACCGTTACGTTTTGTACCCAAATCCGAGTGAAAATTTGACGATTTATTTTTCGATATTAACTCCGTAAAAACAACAAATGAAATAACCGAATTACCTTAAAATGTAAAGTTATACAACAAAAATATATAAGATACTGTAAGGCTGTGTACAAACACATTAAGCGTTTTGCGTTGCGTTAAACGCGCGTTTAGCTCGGCGTTCGACGACCGTTCGCACTGGCTCAGTTTGGAAATGGACGTGAAAGTAATTGCTTGTGTGTGCCTCCTCCATCGTCGCTATAAAAGACGATGGCAGAGGCAAAGAGAATTTCGGGTGCACCCAATATTACGAGATAGACTGACGCATGGAATGTTTGTGACGTTGTATCCAAAAAGTAAGACAATATGAAGCTAAGTTTTTTTTAATTCTTTTAGAATATCTATAAAATCTTTTGACGATGGCTGGTCTCTCAGGTTTCATCAATAAATAGATCAGTATCGAAATGATCGTTCTCCATTTCGGCCAATGTGTGTCTACTCTACCCGAAAGCGCGCGATCAAATGCACAACATGGCAGCACATGTATCTCAAAGCGCTCGTTCTAACCAAAATCTATCAACGCGCGTTTGAGTGTATATCTATGCGGAACTCTTGGTTTTAAAACGCACGTTTGAAAACGCCTAAGGACTATCTTAGGCTGTGTATACAACACAGCCTAAGATAGTCCTTATGTAGAATTGGTGGCATTTCTGTTTGAAAATAAAATTTATTATAACAATAACTTTCGAATCCCACGTTCACCCCAGTTCAAGAATTACTCTGAACACCATTAATTCTCAGATATTTTATTTAAATGCCTTTCAGATCGGAATTCTTTTCGCTGCCAGGCCCACACCAATATTTCAGACTCTTCAAGAAATTTTTCTAGAAAAGTTTTAAGTATGCTATATCCGCTCAAGTAAATTTTAATACTTTACTGTTTTTAGCATATATTTGAACGTGTTTAGCGACGATCATTCATTCATTCATTCCGAGTTTATATCACAACTGAAACAGTCAGGTAAAATGTGATTGGAATTTTGAAGATTTGTCATGAAGAATTTCCAAAAAATATATAACAATATCTTTGCAGATGTCCAGAACAAAATTTTTACTAAGGAAACGTTTTTGTTAAATTAAGAACATTAAGAATCCCAGCAAATATCTAAAAAGGTTGTCATTCACTCTTTAATTAAATACACCTCACTTGTCAGTTGACAATATTTTGTTGATGGAGTGAGTTATTTCCGTTTTCTTTCAATATGGAATTATCTTTGTATGCTACTTAGTGTTAAAAACTTCAGGTTTTTTGTAATTATTTAAACCCTTAATGTGGGGAGTTATACCGGCAAATGAAATCTGCTCCTAAAAGTAAGTTCTAAAAATGATTAGAACTATAATTTGTTCTAGTTTTTCAATTGCTTTCGTCTAATCTGTAAAAACAAATAAAAGATGCATTTAAACTACTGATTTATAATTATTTAATCTCACAAATATATTGGTGGGCCAGGAAATAGAATGAAAGAAAAAATGGCGTGAGAGCACATAAGGAATGAGAAGCTATGCTCTAAGGATCGAGTTATAAACTCCGTAACGTAACCGTATCCGTAGCTATAAGTGTATCCGTATAGCGTGGTTATAAACTCCGTATTGTATCTGTATGGCTGTACCGTATTCCATAAGAAAAGTTTGGATCGATCAAACTTTTAAGGTAGGGATACGGAGAATTGACCAACTGCCCTTGTGCTAAGTCGCATACAATCAGAAGTTGTGCCGGAAGCAACCAACGAAACTTTGAGACAAGATGGCTACTCATCAAGAATGTGCTGCGATGATTGCGTTATTGGCAATAAGTTTAGGATCTTTTGATATTCATAAAAAGCGGACAAGTCGATGGCAACATGTTGCCATCGACTTGTCCGCTTTTTANTGTTTCAATTAGAAAATCAAACTGTGAGAAAGTCTTGCAGTTCTTTGCTAATCATTAAAGTGGATTACATGGAGAGTAAATTTTCTAAAATATTGTAGGTAAATATGCAATTTCTCTACTTTTTTTAAATTATACTCACAAATGGAAAGGCATAGTACTGGTTATAGACTTTTGTCTAGATTTTGTTCACTAACTAGCTGTGTGATAAAATGTTTATCACACAGCTATTGAGGACATGACTATGGAGGATGTAGATTTCAGATTCCATTTAGATTTCCAATAATTCTTCCTTTTGTATGAATAGAGCTGCCAACTCTCTGGGTTTTGAAGGTTTGGCTCCAGGCTCAATGTTTAATTTCAATTTAATAGTTATTTGAATGTGTGATTAAGTTTTACACTATTTGGTTAAAAATGTTATTTGACAGATCTGTCAGTTAAGCTCAATCTCTGAAGCTATTTACCATACTCAATTTTGACATGAATTGCTAAAAATTTTTAAGACTCAACAGACACAAACAGTGGAACTCAGTGAACCTTTAAAAGTGCATTATCTAATACAGTTCAGAATCCTACCAGACAAAATCCTATTGGATAAAATCCTACCATCCTATTTTCCTATAAAGGAAAAAATATATACATTTTAACATTTATCTAGATACAGAAATATTTCCAGCATTGCATGAGTATATGCATAGTCTATAATGCATTTGTTCCACTATGATATTTACAATAAAATAAATTAAATCATTCAAAGAAAAGGCTTTATACATTTACATTGCATTGTAGTTCTGTGGCAATAAAATGTAAATTTTTCCCAATTTTTTCAAGTGCAAAAATAGCAGAAGGAAATCATTTTAAGATTTAGTATAATATGCAAAGATTTTGAGTGTAAGGGATAAAAACAAACCATTGTGTAAATAAATATGAAACCAATTAGTTTTATTTTTCTATAGTATATATTCAAAACGTCTTCATCTTCATACAGCTGAAATGTGCTGCTTCTCATTACATATAATCATTTCACAGTAATGTTCACGAGTATAAGACATTGCCACAGTACTCTACCAATTAGTAAATTGCATAATGTTGGCTCTGCATTGATTGCATGACAAAATTGGTGTCATGTTTCTGAAGATCACATTTTTAATTTGCATTCTGTTCTAATGTTTGAAAAATTTATATATTGCCACAGAATTTCCATGCAATATAAGTAAACATGTCCCTTTTTTAGACAAATTATTTTATTGTAAACATCACAGTGGAACTATGCATATACTTGTTCAATGCTAGAAAGATCACTTTTGTGTCAGGATAAATGTTAAAGTGAACACCCTGTATATTTTTCCTTTGGTAGAAAATTAGGTCATCACAGACAGGATTGTAGGGATCCTGTCTGTGATGACCCCTCTAATAGTAAATATTCAGTGGTGAATTTAGAAATATGGCACTTCTAGGCCCACAATATGTAGGCATCTACCCAAACTAACCCCAAATGATTCTTGCCACTTTTGAAGGCAAAATATGTTCATATATTATTAATACTACTAAACTGATATGTCATATTTTGTTTCTACCTACCTAAGCTTTTAATTTGCACTAATTCCTTTATGAATTGTTTTTAAAATTAAATTATCTTTTCATTATTTTATTGTTATTGGGCTGCAATTTTCAAAAGTTGTAGACCTATAAATTCCCACTGGCATCTATTGTCTGCCTGTCCTTCTTTAATCTTGAGCAGTGTTAGATAGCTGAAAGTCAAGACAAGATATGGAATGCTTAGGTAGAGAAGGCCTCAATTAACTATATACAAACAACTTCTTTTGGCCAGAAGTTATGTTATTTCAATTAAAAAATTTTCTCTTGAATGGAGTTAGATAGATGACTGGCATGACTTCATTGTTAACAGGAAAAGTATGATGTACAGGGGCAAGACTTAACTGCACTGTTGTGAAAAATTGCAGCCTGGCATTGGGCAATGCCACAATAAATAATTGCTCATTATTATTATTATTATTTTGAATTTTTACATTCCTAAACTTTTGCACCCCTAGGCACAGGAAATTCACCACTAATTTCTGGTTAATAGGAACACATTGTAAAATAAACACTTGAGTCCAAAGTTTCTGAAAAAAAAGCTTTAATGAGGTAATATAAACAAATCATAAAAATTGTTGAAGCAAACATTTTCAATTGATTAGTCAAACTTCTCCAGGCAATGGAACATATTTTAAATAAATAAGATTTTACCAGAAAAACATTTTGGTGAAAATCATACAAAAAAAATTTATTTTCAATAAAATTAAGAAAATTTTATGTGGATGGGGAGAGAAAATGTCACTTAGTTTGCTGATATTGATTATTACAAGACTTGTAAAATAATTTTATGTGATTCTCTAATAAAAATTAGTCCTTTTTCTGATATGAAGCAATGAGTTGTATATGATCACAGTCTGGGAAATAGCCTTCAATACTATAGCTTTGCAAATTCCATTTTAATCCTGTTTGATATATTGCCTTTTGTTTATCTAAGTCTTTCCTACAATGTGTGAGTTGTAGCACCAGTGTTAAAAGGTAGTATTTGGATCAGATCTTAAAAAAGATTTTATGTACCCTGAGCTTTTGTAGGGATGCTAATTATGGCAACTAAAACAAAAATAAGCCATTAGGATTCACATGAATTTCAGTCTGTTTTCTGAAGAGTTTGAAACTCAATCTTCTGAAAAAATTACAAAGACAAGGAAGAAAATGATTATCTACATGTAATCCACAAAAACTAAGTGATTCCCTGCTTACTGAAAAATCTATTTGATAATCATCATTTTGTCACATTTGAGGTTTGAAGTTACACTGAGACTTCAGGTCATGACCAAGAGGTAATAGTCAAGGTAAACTGATTTCCAAGTAAAATTATCAAATTCAAATAATGGCATCTGGCCCAGTAAAGAAGTTTAATTTGGGTGAAATGACACAAATTTATAAATTAATCCCCTTTCATCAGATTTTAAGAATTGGGTTGGTCAACAATTCTAAATTCCAATCCCTCCAATTGCTTCTTGGATTCCTCCAGTTTTTTTCTTTTGGTCTTTGAAAGCAAGGTTTGAAAAATAAAATCCAAGATTAAACATTGTGTAAAGCAAAACAGAAGCTGTCGATAGAAATTACACAACCTCTGCAAGTCATATTCCAGAAATAAAAATACAAGCACAGTAGCGTTCGAATGCTGGATATAAACTGTGTGGCATTAGATGGCCAGTGAGATACTGAACTTATTTAGTTTGTTGAAACATGATCTAATCCAACAGTGAGTAGGTTGCTTATATTTATTCCTAATATCCCAGATAACATGTCGAAACATGCTCAACCTCACCAGTAATATTACTCACTATCAACTTTTAACCTGTTTCTATACGATCATTCGACCTTCCTCCTAAAGCTAAAGCAACTTAACCCGCCTACCCCTACCACTACTCTTCAACCATTAATTTAACATTTTTTATTTATTTATTGCCAAGTCCAGATATAATTAATAGAATTAATGTGAAAAGTCTTCGTTTTAATGCCATTTTTTAAATAAAAAAATTTTAAGTTAACTAGGAATTTTACGCTAACTATCAACTTTTAACCTGTTTCTATACGATCATTCGACCTTCCTCCTAAAGCTAAAGCTACTTAACCCACCTCCCCCTACCACTACTCTTCAACCATTAATTTAACATTTTTTATTTATTTATTGCCAAGTCCAGATATAATTGATAGAATTAATGTGAAAAGTCTTCGTTTTAATGCCATTTTTTAAATAAAAAAATTTTAAGTTAACTAGGAATTTTACGCTAAATACAAACAAAAACTTGAGTGTAACAAAAAAATTGACGAGATGGAATGTGTTTGGTATTTTTTTCGTTTTTACCAAGTTGAAATCTATAAGAAAATGAATAAAAATCCTACGCAGTATTTTACTTGCAGGCCTGTGTTATTTGTGTGTAACAGAATTTGTGTAATAAAACCAAGTATATTGTGGAAAAGTAATTCTTAAGAACAGACTTAGAAAGTGTCAATTGCTTTACAAAAGAATTTTTCGGATCCTGATAAATACTATTATGAATTTCTCAAATAAAAGCATCAAAATTATTCGAAGTACTTGATGATGATAAATTTTTATATCACATAAATAGACTTAAGGGGTTTCGAGTACTGCTTTTTTGTTCAATATGCTGCACGAAGCCAAAAAGAATTGAGAGTCATTGTGCTTTTCTGTAACTTGCGTTTAATTAAGAAAAAGTTAACCAAATGCTTTTCAATTTACACAAAACATCGAATTTTGAAAATAATTTAATGTTCCTATTAAAATAAATGGACTAAATATAAATCATATCAAATTCTGTTTATGATAATTTTCTGCATTATCCGGTGATAATTTATTTCGTTTAGTAATCTTCCAGTCGTACTTGAAATTCAAGCGATAAAACAAATCTCTGAATTTGCTGCGGAGATATTCGTAATCGGGAGCTTCTTCGAATTTTAGACTTCTGCAATGGCGCAGATAATTGGCAAATTCGTCGGGAAATCCGCTGCATAATGTTTCGATAGAAGTAGATGCTTTATTTTCGGGGATTCTTTCGTGTTTTTGTTTTCTGGTTGCAGCAACCAATCCCTCCCAAGGAAGAAATCCTCGAAGAAAATACATTAAGACATTGCCTAAAGATTCTATATCATCGCGTCGACTTTGTTCAATTCCTAAATGAACGTTGAGGCTGGCATAACGAGCTGTTCCTGTTAACATTTTACCATCCTTATACTCGACATGCTTATCGTTGACTCTATACAGTTTAGATAATCCATAAAAATGTCT